CTTCTGAATGGGCACAACATTCGCTAACTTCCAATCTTCTGGGACTACTCCTGTTAACAATGTTTGGTTAAACTAATCTGTAAATGGTTTTGCTAGTACACCACTGTTAAGACACCTCCCGTGTCTTTAAGTCAAACCGCCGTTTAGTAAACCTTCCCCGGCTGCAGTACAGTCTCTGTTCGCTTACTCTGTAACCCACGAACCAAATGCAGGGGAAGCGCCAATCTCCCGATCGAAATCCACGAACGGCTCCAAACTCCCGAACGGCAATATACGAACTGCTATGAACTGTCGAACAATAATATCCCCAAAGCGGCTTAAGTTCCATCCAGCAGTCTCTAACCGTGAAGAAGAAATCCCCCCAATAACGAGACAGAAGCTCCGCATTGAGGGTCAAATAAGATCTGGTTTTACTGTGGGCTACCTGCCCGTATTTATGCAGGTCTCCCACCTGGTGGACACTCCCCTAGGGGACCAAATGGAAGACTTAAATTACAGACAGATAGAAGGACATTTCTGACACACAGTCACATCTCTTACCCACAGTGCATTCTGATTCCCTCCCCTCTGTCCTGGAGTTAATTACCAAGTAACTCAATTAACTCCAGGACAAGGACAGTCGCCATTTTAAACATAAAATAATAAAAGACATAAAAATGCATAACTACATGAAAACTGAACATTTCCCATTCGTATTACATGTCCCCAGATAGCCTGGATCTGAGTGCATATTATTAGCGAATAGCGCTCAGATCCCACACACATAGTTCAATCGCCATGGAGTCAAAGTTCTTACAGTCTTTCGGTATACGAATGACTCCATGGGAGGGCTATCTGGGTTAAGTCTTTTGTATGCTCTCAATCTCCCGAACGGCCGGTGTTCGCATGCTTTCGTGGAGGCAGCCAGGCGTTCCCTTGTTTCAGCGGTGTTCGGCAGAAAAAGTGTCCGTTTTCAGTTCCATAGAAATAGAGCCAAACACCGCTGAGCGTTCGCATGATTTAAAATGGCCGCTGCCTCGTGGTCGACATACGAACGACGACCACCCTGAGTTCGGTTTAATTGAGAAGTGTCTGCGGTTAACCACAACGTTATAATGGTGATCACTTCGTTAACCTGCAGCACACTCCTCACTTGGGTGGCCGTTCGTTCGGCAGATTTGTTCGGGAAAAAGAGTCATTCGAATGGCTGGGCTATAGAACCCAGCCATTCATACGAACGGGGACAAACAGACGAACGGGCAAAAATCCAGCAGACAGATGGTTCTGTCACAACCACTAAGCTCTTTTAATAACTTTGGGTGAATTCCATCAGGTCCCATTGACTAATTTGTCTTTACTTTTGACAGTTGAAATAAAACCTCTTCCTCTGTAAACTCACATGTAACAAATGACTCATTTGTCCTTTTTCCTAACTGAGGCCCCTTTCCTTCATTTTTATCTGTAAATACTGAACAAAAATATTAATTGAGGCAGTCAGCTAGACCTTTATCCTCTTCTACATACCTTCCTTCTTTTGTTTTTAATCTAACTAATCCTTGTTTTACTTTCCTTTTCTCATTTATGTATCTTAAAAATGGTTTTGTCCCCTTTTTATTTATTTTTTTACTGATTGTGCTATTTTCTCTTCTGTGTGTGATTTGGAAGCTCTTTTAACTGTTGTAGAAAAATCAGCTAAGCACGGGACAAAGACCCTCTGGTTGATGGATGGAGACCGACCTTCCTCAGAAGGTTCCAGGAACAAGTGAGGAGACACACACAAAGATGTTTCCGAACAAGTTAAAAATTTTATTATTCACAAGCTGTACTTATACAAATTTTATCACGCTATGGGATGTAACAGGAAGCAGCTGCTTGTGATAGATAACTATGTTGTTTTACACAAATATGCTGATTTACACAAAATACTACAAATACCATTTAATAACATTTGAGGTAAGCGGTAATTGTAACGGCACTCACAGCATCAAATAGTAAAACCGCCGTTTAGTTAATCTTCCCCTCTCACCATAACGCAAGCTTCATTCGTACCAACTCCAATCATACGAACTGCAAGCAGGGGAATACTCCAATCTCCCGAACGGGACCCGTGTGGGTACTTCACTTCCCGATCAGTAAATTCACGAATCGTCGCTAACAACCGAAACCATATATCTCCCAAGCGGCTAATAATACCATCCGGCAGTCGCTATTCGTGTAGTAAATTTCCCTCCAATAACGAGACCAAGCTCCGCATTGAGGGTAAAACATGAACTGGGTTTACTGTGGGCTACCTGCCCGTATTTATGCAGGTCTCCCACTTGGTGGACACTCCCCTAGGGGACCAAATGGGAGACTGTAACGCAGATGGACATACAGGATTTCAGGACACACAGGCACATAATATTCCCAGCATGCATCATGGTTTCCTCCCCTCTGCCCTGGAGATAATTGAGAAGTAATTCAATTATCTCCCATGACAGAGGCAAATCGCCATTTTAGATGCGACCCAAAAAACACATAAAAATATATAATTTTACAACTACCGAACATTTCCCATTCGTATCACATATCCCCAGATAGCCTGGATCTGAGTGCATATTATTAGCAAATAGCTCTCAGATCCCACACACATAGTTCAAACGCCATGGAGTCAAAGTCTTGTACAGTCTTTCGGTATGCGATTGATTCCATGGGAAGGCTATCTGGGTTAAGTCCATTCGTGCGGTTCAAACTCCCAAACAGCCAGTGTTCGCATGCCTTTGTCGATTGAAAAGGGAGATTGGTGGTTTTAGCGGTGTTCGGCAGAAAAAGTGTCCGTTTTCAGTTCCATAGAATCTGTGCCGAACACCGCTGGTCTTTCGCATGTTTTAAAATGGCCGCCGCCTCGTGGTCGACATACGAACGACGACCACCCTGTATTCAGTTATAATTGAGAGGTGTCTGCGGTTAACCACAACGTTCTAATTGGGATCAAGAGGTTAACCAGCAGCACACTTCTCTTCTGGGTGGCCATCCGTTCGGTAAGTTAATTCGGTAGAAAAGTCAAATAAACTAACAGGGGCATACGAACATGTAATTCCACGAAAAGAGGCAAAACAGACGAACCAGCAATAGTCTATACAGTCTATACTTAGTCTATACAGATGGATCTGTCACAGTAATGTTTTCAGAGAAATGCAAAAACTGAACAACTGTTTCAAGCTATCCATAAGGTTTCAAACTGCCCTTATAATATGAACAGCAAGAATAGATAATATAAACAGCACGAATAGATGTAGTGAAATGGATATTCTATCCTTCAATCCCCTCTTAGATCATATCATGATCTAC